TATGACATCACATCAATTCAACCAATGCCAGGAATGGGGGAAGAAGGACTCACAGGCAATTGGCAGCCTATTTTTTTAAAATCTCAGAGTAAAGTTTTATATAAACTACAGATGCAGTTTTAGAGTCCATGACCTCCTGACTTCAGTGGGCATGACTGACTCGTCCAGCTCTCATATCAAAAAGGCAATCAGACCCAATATGTCAAAATTCCTTGTTCCAGAAGCTTCTATATGCGCTAGTGAACCTGAGACACATTCATACCTGTTGTTGTAGGGCAGTTTACTTCTACCATAGTATAATAGCTTACTACTAGTGCAGTTCATACTACAGGGGTATTGCATGGGAAGGAGAATGGCACCATCTGCTGCCTGTTCTGACTGAGAGTAATAAGTAGCCATGATAGGAAGCATCAGAACTGATTGCCCTAATTACACCCCCAGCGAGCAGTGCTGTCGTTCTCTGGACTGCAGAAAGAAGTCAACCTGACAATTTCCCAAAGCCTAGCTCTTTGCCCTGGATGGTGAGTGAGAAAGCAGAATGAGTCCACTGCTGCAGAGGTCCACTGCTGCCTCCTCAATGTTTGAGGCACACAGCTAGAACTCGAATCAGGTGGATCTTTCCCTGGCTCCAGTGGTGAGAAAAAGTAGGGTTTTTGTTAGATCCCTGGCAGCGGCCTGATCTTGCTGCTTTGTATAAAAGACAAGCAACAAGGGCAGATAATCTGTCGCTGTAACTTCAGCATTAAAACAACTGTACTTTCAAAGGCCAAAAACAAGGCCTTACCAACCTCGAGAAGGAACCTTCAGGGTAAGTCCAGGGGTGGCCAGATAGTGCTGCCTGTTTGCAGACAGGATGGACTCTCCAAGCCAAAGCTCCAGAATGGTCTTGGCAGTCAGGAGGACTTTGTTGTGACTTTGCTTGGGGTGGATGGAGGTGGGGTAACAGTGGTCTATGTAGACTTGCAAAATGGAGTGCTGCTGGGGACATTTGCACTATACGTAAAAAATGACCCAGACTGACTAGTGCTCTCCCCCCCTCCCTTGCCTCCAGTGCATGTGCTCATCCTTGCCCAGGCAAAGTTGAGCCAGAAAATCGGGAACAGAAGAGATGTGGGGTAGCCTCCTGGGGGTTCTTGGAAAATCCCTGTGATGCCCCTCAAAGCCCCTGCTGGCCAGCGGGTATGTGGGTGGGAGGGCTAAAAGCTTCAAGCAGACAAACTTCCACTGACCACCATTCCCAAGAATACGTCTCCGAGTGAAACCAGTTCTCTGGACATAACTATCCTGTTGGCATACCCCCTTTTCCCCCGAAGAGAAAGTGTGTCTGTTTAGCTTGTTCTCTGCTCTTCTAATTAAATAGGCATCCTGCAATTTTAGAAATGTGAAGACCTGGAGGGAAAACCCCCCAAAACTTCAGGAGAAATAAAATAATAATAATAATAATAATAATAATAATAATAATAATAATAATAATAAAGTATTTACCTATTTTTAGAGAGCAATAAAAGAAATGCATATGATTCCCCCCCCCTTTAAAATCAGTATAATGTTTTTTGAACACAAGGTTTTACTCGCTCAACATGTATAAACAGCATTAAATTTTTCCATTCGAATGCTGGGCAGCTCTGAAGATTGTGTTGAAATGTACCGGTAATGGGAAAGAGGGAAAAGAGCTAAGATAGCATTGGGTGCAGTTATTTGCAGCTTCCTGTCGCATCAGTAGTGGGAGTTGACTGCAGTTAGAAAATGAAGACACTCATTTCCCCCCCCCCCAGTTTTGCCAAATATGGCACTTAATATAATTAACAAATTGTAACCTGACTTGAGTCCCAGTGAGACAGACAGACTATTAATAACATGATGAATAAATAAATATGCTAAGGAACTACTGAATGATGCATTTCATGATATTAAAGCAAAAATACATTTTGGTTTCATAAGAGAGCAAGAGTTGCATGCATTTTAATTTTTCACAAATTTCTGTTTTTGCTGAAACCAAGGTCATTAAAAAAACGTTTTTTCCCCCCATGGCTTCAAAATTTCCAGAAATCTAACAACTCTATGAAGTTTCTCTGAAGAGATCAGATTGGGTTACATAGCTCCCTCACCCATTTAACCTCAGAGTAAGCCTCTGAATGAAGCTACTTCTCTGGTTTCCTGGATACATCTGCCTCCTACACGACCTCTGAGGAAAGCAGGGTGGGAATACATAGCTCCCCCCACTCCCCATTTTTCCTTAGAGTAAGCCACTGACTTAAGCCAGTCTTCTGACTTTGTTGGACTATGGACCCCTTTTTTCGATTGGATGAGAAAGAAATATAAAGATATGGTTTCTTTGATATAATATGAAGTAGCCTATATGAACTTCTAAAATTTCACAGTCTCTCTCTTAGAAGTCTGAAATGATATGTGGAGAAGAGTTACATGCAGAAGATTTGTTATTTTGGTTTTCCCCTTTTCCCTCACCCCTGTATATTCTAAAACCTAATAAAGCGTACTTTAAAAAAGAAAGCCAGTCTTCTGGTCCCACTGTGACATAATTACCTAATGGGAGATCGCCCTGCTCATCTGCTCCACTTTCCCTCAGAATAAGTGAGGGGGCCAATGGGGTGCCTGTGGGTGGCATGATGCCCGCCTGCTTCTTTCCTGGTGCCTGCCAAGTGATCTTAGGAAGCCAGTGGGACTTTTTCTAAAAGGACTTATGACAGGCCATTGGAGATCTGATTGGCTGTGCAGATTTTAAAAAGCAGTGCTTCGACAGCAGCTGTAACTGTCAAACGTTTGTAATGCCACATGGCCAATTATTGAGAGCCAGTTTAGTGTAGTGGTTAAGAGCGCGGACTCTAATCTGGGGGAACCGGGTTTGATTTCCCCACTCCTCCGCATGCAGCTGCTGGTGTGACCTTGGGTCAGTCATAAGTTCTTTCAGAGCTGTTCTCTGAAGGGCAGTTCTCGAGAGCTCTCTCAGCCCTGCCTACCTCACAGGGTGTTTGTTGTGGGAAGGGGAAGAGAAAGGGATTGTAAACCGCTCTAAGACTTCTTTGGGTAGTGAAAGGCGGGGTATAAATCCAATCTCCTCCTCCCCTTCTTCTATTTGTTGTGATTTGCCCTGAGCCCGTTGGTGGGGAGGGTGGAATATAAGTTGAAAAATAAATATATAAATAAAAGACTCCAAGTCCAAACCAACAAACCAGGGCAGAAGTCTTTAGTGGGGGGCTGGCCAAGTGAGGTGAACAACCAAAAAAGGCTGAAGGGCGAGTCCTCACACCTCAGGGCAGTTCTGCTACCAGTCACCTTCCATTATCCAGACAGCCAGAGACAAGGGATGAAGTCTCAGGCCCTCCTGGAAAGTTATCCTTGTAAGGGAGGACACCTTCAAGGCAAGTTTCACAAACTATTTATTTATTTATTTTCCGATTTCCAGTTTCTACAGCCAGGAGATAAATGGGCCAACACCACGCCAAAATGATCTCATGTCTGCAAGCAAGAGGGAGGGCAGCCAGTAGATGCCCGCTGCCTCACTCAAAGGCCTGGCAGAACAGCTCCATCTTACAGGCCCTGCGAAACTGTAACAGGCCTCGCAGGGCCCTGATCTCAATCGGGAGCATACGCCACCAGGCTGGGGCCAGGACCGAAAAAGCCCTGGCCCTGGTTGTGGCTAGACGGGCATCTTTCGGGCCATGGACAACCAGCAGATGGCTGTCCACAGACAGCAAGGCTTTCTGGGGCACATATGGGGAGAGGCGGTCCCGTAGATTACTCTGGTAGCTGTAGCCAATGAGGGCTGAGGTACTGGGTTCAGATTGAAGCCTCTTGAATTCACAAACACTACCAGAATGTACTTAAAAGTGATTCATTTAAAATTGTGCAGAGACAGTCAAAGCAGAGCAGGGAACAGTGAGGATAAAATAATAAAACTAAAAAAGTTTAACTAGGCACTTTCACAGACAATGGTTCAGGGTTTTAGATTATTACCCAACGGCAGACTGAGGTCCTCAAGGTCCCAAGCTTCAGAGTCCAAGACAAGGTTTCTGATCACTAAGACCCGCCAAAAAAGACAGCGCCCAGGCTCATCCAAGCACAGGGCCAGTCAAGAACAAATGCCAGAGGAAATGGCGTACGGCTTGACACAGGGGTCAATGGGACAGACAAAAGGAAATACTACTTTACATAGAGAGATATTAAAATGTGGAATTCACTGCCAGAGAATGTAGCGCTGGAGACAAGAATAAACTGCTTTAAAAGGGGATTAGATAGATTCATGGAGGATAGGTCCATCAGTGGCTACTAGCCACGGTGACTGAGGGGAACCTCCGCATTCAGAGGCAGGAGGCCACATCCGGGGAAGGCCTCGGCCTCTATTACCTGTTGTTGGCCCTCCAGAGGAACTGGTTGGCCACTGTGTGAGACGGGATGGTGGACTAGATGGACCATTGGTCTGATCCAGCAGGGCTTTTTCTTATGTTCTTAACCTTTGTTCAGTCAGACAGCAACTGAGGTTGGTAGAAATACATGACACTTAATTCAGTCTTTCAGTGCTAATCTTTGTTTAGACAAGGAATGTTTCTGAGAAGTCAGCAGTATAACACAAATAGTCATTTGAACTGCAAGGTACTGAGGGAAAAAATATAGTTTACAGAACGCTGTAAACAATAAGCAGTATTGACTTCTGCTGGCTTTTAGCCTGATCAACCTATTATATGTGATAACCCCCTTCTCCCAAAAGGAATATTTATCAACAGTCTTTCTTTGAGAAAGGATGGTCATATAAACACCTTACTGAACTACAAAATTACTCCAGAAGGCAAGGCTTGATCTTTAACGTTGCAACTCATTTCAAGCATTCCTTTTAATGAATTCCACGTACAGCAATTTCCTAGAGGTATGAACACCCCAAATCTCCTCTCTAAATATAGGGAAGTTTGTAACAGGTTCAATTGGAGACTTCAAAAACATTTTAAATAGACACCACAAGATGCATGAGTAGTTTAAAGGTCAAATTTATTAGGAGATTAAGAGATGTATTATACATGGACTATAAATACAGCACAGCTGACTTTATTCACAGTCAGACGCAGAGACAGCCAATGCCAACCTATTTTGTGGACACCCTTGTTCTTTTGTTCCAAGAAAAGTTTGCGCCATAAGACTTGGATTTAGGTTTTGGAATCCTCCGCTCTTGAACATCATAGCTCCAGCCTAGGAAAAAACATGTCGAGAATTCTAAACAACACACACACAACCGATAATACTGAGCAAGTGCAACACAAAACAAATGCAACTTCAAGCTTTTAAGAGCTCACCAAAAAAGAAATAACCAACATATTTGATATACAATATGTAATTACTCGCTTATTCTTTTGTAAAAGGCAGTGGAGAATAATCCTTTAAGACAGATAGGCCTTAAATGTGACATACACCTGTTCCCAGGTTTGTCAGATCTCGGGGCACTGCGTGTTCCAACTTTGCCGCTCCTGCTGATAGACCAGCATCGACAGTTGACACATGAAGTCCTGTAATCTTATGCATCTACACCTCTCTATCTGATGTCAGGCCAAGTTTTAGAAATATGCATGGTAGCGGAGAGCCACAATGTCACAAGGAAAGGGAGAGGAACAAGGAGGTGAGCTTAGGAGAATTTATTAAGAGGCCTTCAAATCAGCTGCTTTGTTGGACCTTTGTAGACGGTGCCATCTGCTTCCACGGCTTCAAATAAAGAGATGGCATCAAAGGGCACCGATCTGCACGAGGGGCTGTTGTTAGCCACTGTGAACCCGATTCCTTTTCTAGGCGGCTCACAGATTCAGCAGCTGGAGTGGCCCCTCCGTACAAGGATGATGCTTGGGGCAGGGAGGTGCTGACCACAGAAGAAGCATCTCTCATTGATGGATGAGATTCAGGAAGATATGCAAGAGCTGGATTTTACTCAGCCACTCAGTAAAAGTGCAACAAAGGTGACTTCGGGTTCTGATCAGGTTTGGAAAGGTATTGGGATGGGGGAAAGGAGAGACGCAAGTAATAAAGGTTCTCTCATTCTGTTCTTATGCATACAAGCCAGGATTCAGAGTTGGTGTTCTGCATGCTCATGTGGGCTTTGGAATTATGTTCTAATGTTC